CTTCCCAGGCAGAGCATGAGGCCTCTTCTTTCACGGGGGAGGGGGTGTCAGGTATTCGGCAAGATAATAGGTACTTGGGGTCTCCCTGGTGGTTAAGGGGTTAAGAAACAACACTATGAAGCTATCTGCAGCCACCGCAGCACAGAGTTCCATCCCCAACCAGGGAGCAGCCCACATGGCGCAGCAGACCTCTCCCGTCTCGCCCGCTGCTCCCCTCAGCAGTGGGTTTCAGTCAGTCTGCCTGTTCTGCTCCCCACTCTGTCTCTGGTGAATCCTCTCACTCCCCGCACCTCTGGCCTGCACCCCAGTTCTTGTATGCATGAATTTAAAAAAGATAATCGGTACTTGGTGTCTGTGCTCAAGGCTGGGAGGCTCGATGGCAGCCTGGCTTTCTCCAGGGCCAAATGGCGCCCACAGGGCACCAGAGGGGTTTTCTGGGGCTGCAGTGCTGCTTTTGATGGCAGGTCACAGAGGCAGATAAAGGCTGCACTGCAGTGCTGAGGGAGACGCAGAAATGAGTTTCTACCCTGCTGAGCAGGGCAGGGAAGAGCGGTGGGGAGGAGGCCAGGAGGGGGGAGCAGGCCACTGGAGCAGCGGCGTGGGTGCCCTGTGGGCTGCAGCGCCTGCCGGGCCCGGCTCAAGGAAGGCTCCCAAACCCGTGCGGATGAGAACAGCCCTCGCCCCCTCCATGCCAACCTGGAGCAGAGCCAGCGTTCCTCGCGGCGCTGGCACCGGGCTGGCGGGCAACACGTCCTCCCTGCCCCTCCCATTTGCGCTCTCACAGCCCTTCTGGGCGGATCTGGGAGCTGCAGGTGTTCCTCAGCCTGTTGCAAGCAGCAGGGGTCGGGCAGGCAGCAGGCACAACTGAGCTCTCCTCCTGCCCGCCCTCCTCCCTGCCCACCTCACCTTGACTCAGCCTCCACACAGGCCCCAGAGGGCACCCAGCCCTGCCGCTGTCTACGCAGTCAGCACTGTTCTCTCCTCCGCGGCCAGGGGTGCTCAAGGTGCCACGCCCTGGCTCAGCTGCTCTGCTTCTGGGGTCCTCGCCTTGTGTCTGCCTCCGGCCTCTCAGCCACCTGGCAAAGTCTTCCCCGACACCCAGCTTAGAGGGCACTTCCTTGCCCCCTCCTCTCCAAGTCACCACCCACACCGGGGAGCTGGGGGTGAAGCAACCTGTCCCCTTTCCACTGGGTTACTGGTATCCCGGGTTTCAGGAACTTTCTTGAAATCCTGCAGCTAATATCAGTGGAGTGGGCTGCTGTGTGCCAGCCCCGGGCCAGGCACTTGCATGTGATCTCGTTTGTCCCCTCAGCCATGCCCTGTGACAGGTGCCTGCTGTAGCCATTGTAAAGATGTAGCCAAGGTAAACAGCTGGCCAGAGTCAGGTGCCCCCTGCCTTGTGCCATCTCCACTTGCTGGGTATTAGGGACACTGCACTTTGGGAACTCGGTTTGCCAGGGACAAGACATGAGAGAGCAAGGAGGCTGCGGCGCCGCTGTCCCTGCGTTGGCCGCACGTTCTCCAGCCCCTGAGATGTGCAGCTCAAAGCTGCATGCAGAAGCAGAGCAAAGCCCAGAGGGGCGACTCCAGCCTCCAGCAAGGTGGAGTTTACTCCTCTTTGCCCTCTCAGAGTCTGTCAAAACAATATCATGCGCCCGCCCCTGGGATCAGGTTTCAGGCGTTTCTGTTCTTACTCCAACTGGCCGCCCCTCAATGCTTTGATGTGGCTCAGTGCACGTGGCGGAGGGCACCGCCTCCCCCCCCCTTGCTGTCCCTGCTCTTGCAGGCGACACTCCTAGCAACTTAGTGTCTCTCAGTGAACGTGTGCCCCATTTCCAGAGGCTGATGGTGCCACTGAGCCTAACCTTCATCGAGCACCACCCTAGGGTGTCTCCACTAGTCCTGCGTGGGACGGGTATGAAATCAGGAAAACGAAGTCCCTTTAGCCACACCTCGATGAACCCCAGCCCTGGAGGCGGGGGGTGGGATCCAGCCAGATGTTCAGGTTCACCTCCCTTGGCTGTGATTTCAGCACCCAAAGCTCTGGAGGCCAATTTCATTCTGGTAAACTTGCTGCCAAAACTGGGGTGGGGGGGCAAATTTGACCTGGATTTAGCGAAACAGTCATATTTCTTGGCAAAAATAATAAAATGCTGCCCTGGACGCCACGCAAGAGCATGCGTGGTCTATTGCCTCCCTCGGGCCCTGAGCCGTCTGAGCTGGACCCAAGAGCTCGAGCCTGTACTCGCCCAGGCTGCGAAGTGGGCGGGCCCCACGGGGCTGTGGGCAATTTCAAGGTGCCATTTGCTTTGTCACCCAGTGTCCTGAGAGATGGCACTTTTCCCTTGTCTGGGTGCAGCTGGGGCTCAAGAGGGGGTTACACTGCTCCCGGAAAACGGCCCATCAGTGCCTGTCCCAGGCTTGAACCCCAGGGCCTGTGCTGAAAGTGGCCTGCGGAGCTGCTGCCCTGAAGCCTGAGGCCATTTACCTTTCACCTTCAGCCTGAGTGAAAAAGGGTCACTGACACTGAAGCACTCACCGAGCCACTGAGTGACAGCCCCCAACGCAGAACCGCCTGCGTGCAAGCAAGACAGGCCCAGGCCGTTGGAATCAGCATTTCTGCTTACTTAGGGGTCTGCTCCTTGTTTCACATGGACAAATGACTCCTTTAAAAAGCTGAGATCTGGGCTGAAATGATGCCCAGCCCTGCCTGGCACACACCTCATCCACAGCAAGCGCCACAAGCTAGTCACTGCCAGGTAGTAGGCGACGGTGCTTTCTGAGGTTCTGCTGCAAGCAAGAAGCATAGACTTGCCCGTCGGGGGCTGTGGTCTGTCCAGACCTGGCCTGTGGGCATTGGCTGGGCTGGCCGGGAAGGCAGCTCTTGGCAGTGATGGCGCATGGTCTGGGGAGCCCGATCTCTGGCCTCTGCTCCCTTAAGGGGCTTGGCCACTAGGTCTTTCTCCTACACACTTTCTCCAGCCCCACCGAGGTCATGTGTTGGGGTGATTTTCACAGCCTCCACCAGTAGGAATGCTCCCTCAAACCCAGCTGACCTGGCTCGGAGGCTAGCCCACTGAGGACGAAAAAACCCAAAGCCAGCACCAAAATGCCTCAGGAAGTTGAAAGGTGACACGTCTGTAGGCTGAGACTCCTGTCTGCTGGGGCAAGGGCTGAGGTGTTGGTGGTGGCCTGCTCCCAGCCAGGCAAGCCATGTGTGTGGACACACACCACGACCAGCCTCCAGCAAAATCAAAGCGCAATGCTCCTGCACTGTGATGCCCCACCCCCAGCCCCAGCCCCAGCCCCACCCCCATGGCTCTAAGTAAGAGGGAGGTGGCGTGGGAGTAGAAGGACTGGAAGGAGCCAGAACAGTCAGGGAGGCGCTTCCTGTCAGGGATGGTGCCTTCGCCTTAGGAGCTGGGAGAGTCGCATGGAGAGAGCAGGTGGGGAGGAAAGGCCAGCCACCTGGGGCAGTGGGGGGAAGGCCCAGGACACAGAATGGGCCAAGAAGTGAGTCCTTCCTGGTTCTAGAAATGGGATGCCTTGCAGGGCCTGGTGGATGCTGAGTCCAAGTAGTAGATGGGGCCAGGTTATGGGCTCCTAGAAACTTCTGAGTGAATGTGACACGTGCTCAGGACTCTGCCACAGCAACACATCACTTGGAATAATGGATGGCCCATTGGGGAAACGGACTGAAGAGTTAACAGTATGATTCACACCTAGAATGCAGAGGACCTGAACCTGGGTGGGGGCAGCAGCAGTGGGGAGGCAGGCATCAGACATGGTGCCTTCTGTTCTCCACACCTTCCTGCTGGCATCTTAAGACCAGAATGCAGCAAAAGTGATGGCTGTTTGGGTTCTAAAGACTGTGGTTTTTGATTAGCTGGCACATTCTCTCTGTTCACTCAGATGAAACCAGATGTCACGTCGTGAAATGCTCTATGAGGAGGCTGCATGGCAAGGCATCGAGGGAGGCCCCAGCCAATGGCTCATGAGGAACGAGGCCTCCGTCCAGCCAGCTGCAAGGATCTGCTTCCTGCCAACAACCATGGGGGTGACCAGGGAGCACAGCCCTCCAGCTGGGCCTTGAGATCCGAGACTCAGGGCCAGAAGACCCAACTGAGGCACGTCAGGACGCCCGACCCATGGAAAGCACGCGGCAACGTGTGTGCAGCTCTAAGAGCAACTGGGCACGCGGCAGTGAATGACCCACACGGGCAGGGTGGGGGGCGCGGTGGAACTGCAGGTGAGGAGGGAGAAGAAGCCTTGTGAATTCTGAGAAGAGCACAGGCTTCAGCGCCTGCTCTGACCCTTGCTAACTGTGTGACTCTGGGCAAGTCCTTGCTTGATGCCGTAAGTACTTAGAAACTGCGACTTCAAGTGCAAGGAGGTAGAGCAAAAGCGGGCCCTCAGACAGGATAACATCTTTTCCTTCAGTGTTGGCTGGGACTGATTTTTCTTACCAACATCATAACAAACTGACATTGAACGATACGTCGCGCCACCTGCTGACCTCTCCTTTTCATCTAGGCCCTGCCCCTGCACCCAGCGTGGCGATGACTAGCGCACCAAGCCTGCTCAGGAAAACTGCGGTGGCATTTCTAGAAGGCCCAGTGTGCATCCTCATGCCAGCGAGGGCAAAATTCAAATGCTCCTGCGAAATTTCCTTCCACCCTAAAGCCATGGCATCACTAGTCCTGTGTGAGGGGGGTGTGCCAGGCGGCCCAGGGGCCCTGGTGCGCTGCCAGGCCTCATCTCCCCGCTTCCCTCCCCTGGCTGTCTCTGCAGCTGCAGCACGCCTCCCAGGGAGGTGAAGTGACCTGACCAAAAGCTGAGACTGTCACCTTGGATCGTGACTACCGTGCTCTGACCACAACGAATTAGCTGCTTTCAATCCACTTTTCCAGACTCGAGCCCGGTCTCCAAAAACAGCCAAGCACCACTAGCACCGTCCTTATTTCCAAAACAGCAGCGCACAACAGAGCGAGATCTCTTACCTGTCTGGGCAGAGAGGGCATGGGCTCCGAGGCCAGCGAGCGCTGGCAGCGCGGCGGCGGCTGCATCATCTGCTGCAGGAGGTACGGGGCGTGGTCGGGCTGCGGCTGCAGCTTCAGGGTGGCCGTGGCGGAGGAGGAGGCGCTGGGCACCGAGGCCGAGGCCGGTGCAGGCTGCTGCAGGTAGTGGAGCAGGGACTGCTGGCGAGAGGTAGTGGGCAGCGACGGCATCTTCTGGGGGCCTGGGTCGGCCACAAAGTGTGACAAGGGCTTGGTGTTGCTGAAAGAGAAGGGCTCTGGGGCCCCACGGCCGGGGCTGGCCAGCCCCTGCTGCATGATCATGCTCAGGGTTTTGGAGGAGCTGGCGCTCAGGGGCTTGAAGACGGCGTTCGCGGATGGTGGCGGCGGCTGCGGGCCCAGCTGGTTGCCAGCGGGAGCAAGCGAGCGGATGAGCGGGCACTGCGGTGTGAAGGACTGCTGCGGCAAGCTGGGGCTAGACAGCTTCTCGGGGCGGTAGGGCGGGGATGGCCCCGGGGTGCTGGAGGGCAGAGTGGACAGCAGGTGGCCCGGCGGGCTTTTGACGGTGGAGGACACCAGGTTGGCCAGGATGGAGTTCTGGGAGCTGAAAGGTGGTGGCGGCTGCAGCGCCGGGCTGGGGAGCTCCTCGGGGGCGTAGGGCAGGGCAGGCCCCAGTGCGGCGTTGCCACCAGGTGCCATGCTGGAGAGTAAGGCATTGGGCGAGCCCTGGACAGCGCTCCCTGGTAGGTTGCTGGACGACAGGCAGGACACCATGAGGTTCTGGGGGCTGAAGGGTGGCGGCGGTGGGTGCGGTGAGGGCACTGGGCGGTAAGGGGGCGAGAGGCCAGGAGGAGGCAGACCAGACCAGCCAGGGGCGGGTCCTGGTGGCTTGGTGGCCGACCCCTGCTTGCTGGCCGCCAACACCTTCAGCTGGTGCGCATGATGCCACTGAGGCACGGGGAGGGGGGGCAGCGCGACGGGGAGCGTGGCCGGTGCTGGGTTCTTGGCCGGCGCCGCCGCATTGCTGGGGGACACCATCTGCTTACCGGCAGCGGAGATGGCGTAGTTGAGCCCTGCGGAGGAGGGTGGGACGGGCAGTGACACGCCAGCCGCCTGACTGCAGCTGGACGTGAACTCCTTGCCGGAACTGAGGCTCTCCAAGTGCGGCATCTGAACCGAAGGCTTGGGGGTTGCGCCCAGCGTGGCCTGGGGGTGATCTAAGACCAGGGGTTCTTCTGGTTTGGTCCCCAGTATCTTCTCCAGATCTAGGTCACTCGGAGAAGGTTCTTGAATTTTGGTCAGCTCCTCCAGCAGCTCCTGAAGCTCCTGGTCTACCGCAGGCAGGCTGCTGCTGGCGGCGCTCTTGTCGTAGTACGGAACGGGGGGCGCTTTCAGGCCCATCTCTGCAGGTGGCGCTCCCGCAAACGGCGAGCCCATCACACTGCCATTCATGGGGTTGTTGTCCAGTAGTAACGCGTGGCCAGCTACTCCCATGGCCGCAGGGCTAGGGGTCATTGCTAGTGACGCGACCTGCAGCTCCGCACAGGGCGTGCTGGCCTGGGCGCCTTGGCCCATCGAAAGGGTGACATCTTCAAGGCAAGGCCTCTTGATTTTATTAGGGTAGCCCCCGTCAGCCATGCCTGGAAACTGGAAGTTGTCTCCTTCCTGTCTCCTCTTAACAGTTCCCTGTGGCTGGAGAGAGAGAGAGAGAGAGGAAGAGAGAGCGAGCTTTTTACAGAGGTATGGCACACTAACACTAATGAACAGGAAACATGCGAGCTAAAACAAATGTCTCGTTTACAGACTTCAAGTTGTCAAAACGACATGATACAGCCCAGTTTTGGAACCCTCACGCTTGTTTCTGTGTTTCATTTAAACTGGCTTCTTGTATTTCAGTAGAGATAACAGAAAGCCCTGCAAGGGCCAGGCTCTGCCTGCCTCTGGGAGGGCTCCAAGAACCATTTTAAGGGGGGGCACCACCAGCAGGTGCGGCGTCTCAGAGCAGATCAGAAACGGCTAAGACAGTCTTAGTCCCTACCTGTGTCTCCAGCTACCCTGGGGTTTACAGAAGGAAAAGCGCAACAGAGACGTGAACTCTGAGCTGCCCCCTGTCCTGGTTACACGCAGGGCCTGCAGGGAGCCTTTCGAGGAGGAGACAGAGGTGGCATGTTCCTCGGGGCTGCTGCCTAAGATACGCTGCTTAAAGGAGAACTCGAGTGAGGATCAGTCACTGCAACATGGTTCCACTTATTTTTACACACACACACGCACACAAAGCTATGCACACAGAGAAACAAGTTGGAAGAAAGTACGCGCAACCATTTGGAGTCAACTCTTGCTTATTTTTAATAAGGATGACTTGTAATCCAAAAACAAACCATATAAAGCTATCTAAATAAGAAATTCCTCTCTGCAGATGCATCCTCAGGTTGTGAGATAGGAAACAACAGGAAAAGGCCCCACTTTGCCATCTGCACCTTGGGGGGAGGGCTGCCCACCAGCTAGAAAAGCATCGGCTTTGGGAACAAAGCAAAGCTGGGGGGAAGGTCGGATTTTCCTCCTCTCACACGGCTTCACATAGTCATCCGTGGCCGCCAAGTTAACGAGCATGGCCTGCAAGAACAGGGGACAGGGGAAAGGAACGCATTGTGTGGTAACGATCACAACAAGGACAGGAAGAGGGGGCGTGGAAGCCACCTCAGTGCCAACAGTCACACAGATACATTTCTCTGACAGCACTTTTGCACGTAGCTTTGGAAGCCTTACTAGGACATCTGAGCCGGTGCCTACACTGGGCTCATGGGGACCACCTGCTAGTGTGATGGTGCTCAGGACATCTTAAGCCTTGCTGCACCCCAGAAGCTCTTAGAAACATCCAGAGCGCCAGGCTCTAATGGCTCAGGTTCCTCCTCCAGAGAGAAGAAACATCCTTGCTGGCTGATGTGGGGGAGCCACATGGCTCAGGGCCCCATCCCCAGGCAGGCACATCTAGGTCCTGGCCTTGCCACGTGGGCCCTACGAGGCCCCATTTTTTTCATCTGTCCACAGAGCAGTTTTAGTTCTTGTGTCACAGAACTGCTTTACGAAGGGAAATGCAGGTCTGCTGGCTCCGCGCTCTCTGCAGGGCTGCACCCATTAAGGACAGGGAAAACCACAGCTGTCATTTTAGATCAAATGCAGCAAACAGCTCGGTACACAGGAATGACTTCCCCACTCAATGTCTTGTTGGGGGTGGCAGGGCTCCTGCCAAGCTTCTAGATCCTTCTGAATAAACCTTCCAGCATCACTCAGGGGCTTCCAGTCCCTGTGGCCTTGGTGACAGCAAGCTCTTGGACCAGCTACCAGCACAGGATCCTGCCCACACACTGTGGGACTTGTTCTTTTTTCTTGTACAATAAGCTACCCATCAACGCTGCCAGGATTTCCACAGAGCTTATCTCAACCTTCTCTTTGGACAGCAAATGAAATGGGGTGTGATTTGCTTGTGGCCACACAGGGGAAAATAAGGACACTAGACCCCAGGTGTCCGAACTCCCAGCCTGAGCCACGTGGTCTGGCTTTTGGGGGGCGGTTGGGGGAGGGGAAGTGAGGACCGGGGCCCTGGGGTCTTTCAGAAAGGACTGACTTTATCTCCATCCACCACCTCCTGCCAAGCCCCATTTCATAAGCGGGAGGACAAAGCCACCAATGTGATCCCCGAGACCTTATAAACACTCGTTAAAATGCACTGGAAAGCATGTGATGTCTTCCCCACCCCCTGACGAGAAAACAAAGGCAACCCTTCTGAGAGGGGCCAAGTTCAGCTCTGAAGTCAACATTATTTGTGGTTCTGTCTGAACAATGACATACGGCAATTCCTCCTTTCCTCCGTTTTTAGTCCAGAATGGCAAAAAGGGGCACAGATTTCTTGGAAAAGGTCTAGATTTTAAGAGAACAGTCCAGGCTCATGAAGTGGGATCAGGAGAAAGACCAGCCCGTGTACACAGACAACTCTTCCCAAGGGAGTCTGGCAGCTGCGGAGACCCTGCGTTTGGACACTCGCTGCAACTTGACATGGGTGCCAACCAAAGGCCACCCCGAACAGGCCCAGTTCCTATGGGGGGGATGGGAGGCAAGAGTGAAGGTACCCTGGAGAGACCAGCTCAGGGAGCCTCGCTTTCCCACCACTGGGCACCAGGGATGTGGGTGCTGGGCAGAACTTGTCAGTCAGGTGGAAACAGCTGGGGTTCGTTTGGGCTCCCCCATCGGGCTCCCTGTCGCCCCGTGCTGTGCAGCTCAGCCAGTCTGCTCACTGGTTCTCTTGGCCTCTCCCCAGTACACCCATCAGTGACTTTCTGCCACACTGACACATCCCCCTAGCAGCTTCCCAGAACCTGAGTTTGGCCACCAAGATGGGTTCTTGGGCCCTCTGAGACCACAAGGGTCCCCGGTAGACTGGCCTCTGGAGGGGAGGGGGCCCGAGAATTGAGAAGATAATGTCGCCCAGGGCTGGGTTTTCGGGAAGAGAATGAGAGGAGGAGCTGCTTGATGTCTTTGGGCAGACGCCTCTTCAGCAGGTGCTTTTCAGAGGCGAGTCCCCAGCCCTGAGACTGACATTTCGGGAGAACAGACAGGATCGCCAGCATTTCCAGAACGGCAGGACATGAGACTTTGGAGACTCCCACGGGGGTGGGGAGTGGCAGGGAAGCTTGAGTGAGGTTTGCCTTCAAGAGGACTTGGCCTGTTGCAGGAACAAATCTCTGCCAACAAATGGTTTGGAGCAAGACCCTGGAGGAGCCGACAGGGATTTATTGGTGCCCTGACTTGTGCTCAGCCAGCAGAAGCTGCGTGCGCAGCACCAGTGCACAGAGTCACACTGGAAAGGGGACCTATTGTGCACCTCTTCCCACTGTAAAGTAAATGGGTCCCCACTTTGGTGAACTAATGCTGTGACTTTCTTCCTGGAGTGCGCCTGTGGAGAAGAGCTGGATTCCCTTCTCCCCCTCCTGTGTCCCTGGTGGGAGCGAAGGCCAAGGGAGCTGGATGGGCCAGTAGCATCCTTGTGCCAACGGAGACACTCCTGAAGTAAGTCCAGCCCAGACCACTTGGGGACATAGATCAGACAATCTCTCCAGTCAAGTTAAGGCCTCCCCAAAATATCTCTATGGATCTTCCACAAGGAATTGTTGGAACAAAGAGAGCGCGTGCAGGGACCAGTGAGGTATTAGTAGGGCTGCTGGTGCATCTCCGGGCATGACTCCCGGCAGAGCTCATCTGGGGCAATGAGGAGCCCCACCCAGGAGATGGCAACAACAAAGCCTTGGGGGATCTGAGCTGTGCAAATCACGCCCCACAAGGGGGGGCAGGCTCTCCATCACCTCACCTTTGGCACCTCAGCTGTGAGCACAGCAGCAGTGGCCCTTCCTACAGACAGGCCCCAAGAGGCTGCCATACATGGTCAGGACCAGAGTTAACAGTGTTGCCTTCCTGGGGGGTGCCCCTCCCCACCACCAGGACACCAATGAGAGTAGTTGAAATGGGGGGAAGAGAAAATCAGCTGCTCAGGGCTCAGCGCCTTCTGCCCCTATACCCAGGTGCAGAGCTCTGATTTGTGGGGATAGAAGCTTCTACAATTTGGGGGGGATCCTCTTTATGAAGGAGAACATAAGCAAGAAGCACCAAGTGAGTAGCAGGCCCTGGAAGGCTTGGAGGCTGAGGCCAGCAGCTCACATGGTGACTTGGCGTCGGCCTGTGTCCCAAGAACAGGCTTCATAAAAAGGCAATGCGCCTGATTCCACAGCAGAAGCATCACTGCCTGAGAAGCCCGAAAGCCTGATAGTGAGGGTGGGAGAAGACCCAGAGACACCCGGAGGTCACATGCTTTCTGAGTGGGCACACAATGGCTGCCCAGCGCCAACTTCTGCTCGAAAATCTGTCTCCAGATGCACCAGCCCCGTGAGCAGGCCTGTGAGCCCACCATCCACAAGCTGACGCCAGAGAAGCGGCGGCCCAGAGGGGCCCAGTGGAAGGCACAACAGGGTGGTCCTGGGCCCTGACGGGCTCCAGGTCCTCCTCTGCCCCCCGAGCTTTATCAAGGCTGCTTGGCCAATCTAAACGGTGTCTATTTAGGTGCGGGGTGTGACTTCCTAAAGAGCGCACCATCGCAGTGTAATGACATAAGTGTGTGACTTATGGCCTCTTTTTTAAAAAAATTGAAGTCAAATTCGCACTGCAGGAAGGGAATCTTGGGAAGCTCACGATGCTGCACTCAGTGCTGAGTGAGGCCGACCTTGCACAGGCACTGGAAGCTGCTGTGTGGTCGTGTGTGCCCAGCTGGCGCGGACACCACACAAGCAGTACCTCTGTCCACTCTGCAAATGCAGCTTTGTGGCCCTAAAATAGCCTTAAGCGTGGTCGACTTCACTCAGCAGCTCTGCCCTGTGGGGCCGGTCAGCCGGGCTCCTGCGCTGCCTTCCTGAGCCACCGCGGGCAAGGAGAACCATCGTACACCAGTCAGGGTAAAATAGTGCGAATCTGCCACTGAAAGAAGGGTCAGCTAATCCCGCTGTGAGGTGAGAGATTGCTCACCCAAACTTAGCCTTCCCTCAGCTGTGCGTCTGAGACCACTAGTCTTTCCTGCAGTGAGTCCTAGTTCAACTCTGCCTCAGAGCGCACAGCAACAGCAGAGGGCTACATGTGCGGAAGAGTGAGTC